ATCGGATTGTCCTGTGATCGTAACACTAAGTGAATTTTCGCGATCGCAGATACTTATTCAATGGAGATACTATGTATTCGGCAGTCTTATGGTACAAAAGATTGTAAAAATTCTCTTCAAGCAACAATAAAATAATAATAAAAAATAAATTAAATAATGTATTATAAATAATAAATAATAAATGATAAAAGCAAAAATTATAAATAATAAATAATAAAAATAAATATAAATAATTATAAACTATAAATAATAAAAAATAGTTGTATTGTATCCGTTGGAAAATGCTGGTCGAATCTCTTTTTTGTTAATTTTCAATACAGGACACGAAGAGACAAGCTAAGCACTCTATGATTTAATCGCATGATGATCATGCGAAATAAATTTCCTACTGACAGCGATATTTGTAGCTGTCCATCAATGTGTTAATCACTTCTTCGTGATCCATATCTGTGTCCATCGCTATCTTGGTTGAACAAAACCAAAGGCAGAGACAAGCATCGTTCGTTATCACGTCACTCGAGAACGACATGTCCTGACGAGGCGAAAAATTGGTGCCACAGGGAGAGATTTCTCGTCGTCACAGAGACATTGTCTACGTAGGATTTATATACATATTATACGCGTGATGTCTCGCCGAGGAAGAAAGAGCGAGCGGCCGCGAGGAAAGCAAACGGCAGGAGTTTCAGGTGGCCATTTAAGGCTCGGACATTTCGTTCTGTCACCGTGTTCCGTGTTCAGCGTCGTGCGACGTCGCGAGGAGGCCACCTACGCGTTAGTAGGGTCCTCTCGGCTACGGTTGCATTGTTTTATAAACGGCCGTCGTTTCTCGTGATAAGCAGAGTAAAACGAAACTGGACACGCTCTCTCTTCGCCGTGAAGCGCACACCTTTGCTATGATTATTCGCTTTTCTACGGCGCTTTCTATCAGCACCCTTCCTTCTCTCTCCCATTCTTTCTTTTTAATTTTATTTTTTGTTAAAAATCGTAAAAAATCTTTTGGTTGTTTAATGAATCAATTTCATTGACCATGTCTGTTTCAAATTAATTTTCTATATATTTCAAATTATTATTTTAATTTCCATGTTTTATTTATTTTATTATTATTTTATAATTTACCATTTTTATTATTCTTATTATTATTATTCAAGAGTTACTCTAAAATATTTACTTTCTTTTTTTATTCTAAATCAGATAAATATTGCGAAATGTTCTATATTATAAATATTAGAAATTAATTAAATACTACTTATTTTAATGAAAAATCAAATATATATATTTGATATAATATTTTATATTTATTTATATATTTTATTTATATATTTGATTTGTTTTATTACATAATTTTAAGAATTTATAATAAACTGTTGATAATGTTTATTACTATTGTCACAAATACATTGCTATATGTTATATATATGTGTATAATATATATACATAATATTCCTTCAAAAGCTTATTAACTTCTCTGTATATTTGATTGTATATTCTCTTTGATTGTAACTTCTCTGTATATTTCTTATGTTACAGAAATTAATAATGCGATTTAATATTCGTATACCGATAATGTGAAAAGCCATAATCTAATAATCCCCGGTAACATTATTCATTGCAATTGAGATATCGCGTGTCACGCAGAGGGAGAGATGCCACGAGTGCATCGCTGCGTAAGAAAGGAATCTCGTATTACACGCTTTCATCCGCATAGCGTTTTTTTTTTACCTCTTAGCGTACTCGCATTATAACGCATCTCTCTCGTTTTTCATTTAATCCGTAGAAATTGCATCTTACTTCCTCGTAACAGCATATCCTTCGCGTGGGTGAACGCATCCGCGCGTGGGTGCATCTCGAGAGAGTGTAACGACATTGTTACATAGTTAACACTTTGATCCCAACGATATTTGCAGGAAACCTTGGCAAATGCCGAATGAATTTTTCAATGAACTTTACTAATACTTACATCATTTAGCAATTTCCTATGAAAGTGTTTGAAATTTATTTATGAAAATGACATCTAATTTTGCCTATAAATTCTTTTATCAATTTAAACTCGATTTTTCTTCAAAGAATTTTGATTTCTTATTTTTTTTATAAAATTTTGATTCGAATCACAAATCAATTGTTATAATATTAATTAATCTTTTGGAAAATTAATTATATTGGCACTAATTTTGCAATATGATTATGTACAATAAATAAAAGACACAATATAATAATGTAAATGAAAATATCATAAATAGCATTGTGAAATTATGAAATTAACGAATATGAAAAAGTATATATTATTTACCTATACAAGCAGCCATTTTTATAAACCTACGTAAGAAGTTTTAACATTTTTGCTTCAAACTTTAACAGGATTATTACTAGTGAATAATGATATTTTGATAATATAAGCATTATGATTCGAATAGTACAATTCTAATAGTATAATTATGCAAAAACAGTCAATGTGTCCCGTTCCATTTTCTATCTATTACCATTCATGTTGCACGATCGTATCATGAAATGTATTTGCGCATTCAGATTTTTCTACGATCATTCATATAGATCGTATTCATGTCGATTAATATGTATGCGCGTTATAATCTTCACTACTTCAGATTTGCCGTTAAGTAGGTGCGTGGGAGTGCACCGTTACAATGTATAAAAACGTAAACGCATCTATGGCTAAGTACGATGGTTTGTAAGTTCGCGACCTCGACTATAAGAATTTTTACCATAGAAATATAATATAGCATGAAAATATTTTGTAATAATTATATAATAATTATATATAATTATATAAAAATCTAAACATAAAAATTATTTAATTATCTCTTTTCAATGTTTAATATTCTCAAATTGCCTTGTAAATTTTTCTAATCTGACTATTCTAAATATTTCTGAAGGGATTCTGAGGTTCTAATTAATACTATAGAATTTTAAAAGAATTCCACGTAAATCTATGAATGAACGAACTTCTATAATTTTACTTGGATTCGATGAAAATAAAAATCTAAACAAAAAATTATTTAATTATCTCTTCTCAATATTTAGCATCTTTAAATTGCTTTGTAAATTTTTCTAATCTAACTATTCTAAATATTTCTGAAAGGATTCTGAGGTTCTAATTAATACTATAGAATTTTAAAAGAATTCCACATAAATCTATGAATGAACAAACTTTTATAATTTCACTTGGATTCGATGAAAATAAAAATCTAAACAAAAAAATTATTTAATTATCTTTTCTCAATGTTTAATATCCTTAAATTGCCTAAATTTTTCTAATCTAACTATTCTAAATATTTCTGCAGGGATTCTGAGGTTCTAATACTATAGAATTTTAAAAGAATTCCACGTAAATCTATGAATGAACGAACTTGTATAATTTCACTCGAATTCGATGAAAAATTGAATACAGTATCCGTTTCGCAAGAGTTCTAACTGTAGAAATACTTTCGATACATTGCATGGGAATGACGGGCGCAAAGGGTCAACAGCGTTGAGTATGTCGACAATTTCGAGAGCCACTCGAGTTCTCACGTACCGATTCAACGAGGTCTTACCGCAGGAGAGACGTTATGTGAACCTCTCGAGTTCTCTGGTTTCTTCATCTCGCCGAGAGTGTTACTTTAATAAGTTCCCTCCGAGAGAGATATCTCGTATTTTGGGAAACAAAGGAAAATAAATACGATGTTTATTACAGACAATGCAAATGAAATTCTCGCTTTATTATAGGATATATAGTGGTTGAAATAACACATACGATTTTCCCCACAGTTCCACTTGGAAAGCGATGTTGTACGAGTTATTATACGTTTTGGAAAAAATCATAACATCTACACACGCTATTGTCGCTGTCGCATATCAGTTGCATGCCTTTTGCAGTGATTAATAATTTTTGAATGGATACAAAGAGCCATGCCGCATACCGGCCTTTGTGTGGCGCGAACCACTGCGATTCGCGTGCATTTAACGCGCAAGACAAATGTTGCATGACAAAAGCACGGTTACTTCTATTACGTATTGCAGTCATAAATAATGTATGCTGTACGCGATACCACACAAATGTCCTTTAGTAAGTGTATTTGCTACATTTGCTGTGTCAGTTCATTTTTGCAATTCCACATTTCTTTAACTTATTTGTCACAGTTCTATAATTACTCCAATCAATTTATATAACTCAATTATATATCTCTCGTATGACTTTCAGCATATTTAAAGATGAGATACTTTACTTAAAATCAAATAATTTGATTAATTTTTAAATTAAAATTCTATCAAAGTAAAACTCACTTGGAATTTTAATTAAGATAATAAAGTCTTATTATGTGTTTTTGCACTTGTACCATTTGCAACTAATTTGTGTGAATACATTATGAATGCAAATAATTAGGAATGCTAATGATTTATAACAAGTTGTGTATAACTGATGCATTTTAGAAATTTATGAGGAAATTATTAAAAAAATAGATAATTCGCGAATAATTTGCGAATATTCTTTTATTTATTTAATTAAGATACTATCAGTCTATCCATTCTCGATCGAATATTTTTTTTGTTTAAGATATCGCTGTACTTTGTACCGACAAGTCTTTATCGCGAAGGTCGCTGTAGTTTTTCGCACGTTAAATATGCGTGACGCGTTGTGTGCAAACGCGTGCAGCAAATGTACGGTTTGCATATATACGAGCGGTTGATTTATCGCATGTCGGGCTCGTGCATGAACTTCTCTCTCTTATCTGCGATATTATCTTATAAATTAAAAAAAATATTAAATTTTCATTTTGAAGATTATGCGTGTGACCATTTATTGCTTTTTTGTTTTGCGAAATTTATCCTCAAAAAAATATATATATAAGAATAATCGAAAACAAGCAAAAATGATGCAAAAAATAAATAGAAATTATAAATTTTTACTTCATAAATGACGATAAAAAATGAGAATGTTTTCAAAATCTCTTATAATTTAGAATAAAAAAAGAAGTTTGCGCTGACACTTTTCTATTTATTTGCAGAATGGCGAAAGACTCTTTATAGGAGCGCCGGGCAGTTGGTATTGGCAAGGTAAGATTTCTGATCAAATGTTAATTCATATAATAACACCCGTATATATCTTAGGATGTATGTGAATACTGACCAAGAATCTTTCTTTCAAATTAACATCGATGTATATTTGTATATTATTTTTTCTTTTTTTTTTTAAAAAAAATTATCTAATCAACGACGTGATGCGACTGAACGAGAACGGAGGAGCGGATGTTGATTAGCGATTAGAAAGAGAGCGTGCGATTAATAGATCTGACTAATAATTCAGAGGGGAATTTCCTTTAATACAGGTCAGATATATTCGATCGCCACCGCCATGAGAATGAAGTTTGTAGCAACGATGTTAGTCACCGAAGCCGAAGCATCAGGTATCGCGTATATTTGCAGGACCCCGTAACTAAAATACCGTCCATCTTCACCTTCTTGCCCCCCCCCCCATTTCTAATAAGCCTACTATTCTCTCATATTGACGATTTCTTACATGCCAAATTAACTACGTGTTTTGCTTGTCGGCTTTTTCCGCGAAACTGCGGAAACTGAAGTAAAGGCCGACGATAATAATTCCCGTTAATCGCAGGAAAGCGTCCTCGGAGAGGAGATACGAAGTAACACAAGAGAATATTTTCCACCCTTTTCACACTTGCTTGGCAGTAACTCTAATCATTTGTCATCATGCTTAACATGACGCTTGTTATTAATCGTGTAATTAAAATTGATGAATAATCACGTTGAAATAATCAGCCCGTTGAAACTTGAAAATAGTATTAAGAAGGATTCCGTTAATTACCCAATCATTCTCTATATGTGATTGGGATAATTCAGATTTTCTCTTGTACATTTTTTTTTTCATGTATAATAGATTAAATGCAAATGAAAATTTAACAAATATTATAAATTTTTAACAATTGTTATAAAAAATGATTCTGTGCTTTGTTTTTCTGACGAATAAAACTCAATAATTCTCCTAAATTCTTTTTTCAATTACTGCCAGATAAGTGGTGGGTGATTTCTAACAGGTGCGGGCCCGCTTTTTCAGCTTCAGCAAGCTACAGATGCAGCAAGAGCCGCAGTAAAATCCGGATATCCAATTAGAAAGCTATAATAAACCTTTAATCGGTTGCAGAGTTTGCGCCAACGTTGCTACATAGTGGCGACTGCTTGACATTAATAGCGAAAACACAAATGCTAGATTAATGATAGAGAAGCTTGTCATTCCCATGTTTAGCACATGTTGTTTTCACAAAGCCTTGCATATCAAGTTAAATATTTTATACATGTAAAAAAGTTTCTTTTGTAAATTAATGTTGCGGAGAAAATAAAAATTTCTTTCAATCGACTTGTAGCTATCTATTAATCAAATTATTCTTCGCACGATAGGGTTTCGAATCGTTTAATTGCGCGATTGTATTTTATTATGGTACAAGATTTTGTGAAAGGATTTGTGCGAGGTATTTCCTGACTGCGGCAAAGACCGAGAGCCTTTAAAGGATTTTCGACTATGGCCGCGATCATGAATACGCCCGCATCCCCATCAAGAAATTTTCGGAATACTTCTTTCGTTAATATCATGGGATTGTTTTATAGGACAAGCGTTTTCGCAGTTTTTGAACAGATCGCGAATAATGTTCACCAAAGAGGGCCCCGCGAAAGAGGATGACAGTTACATGGGTTATTCCGTCACGACAGGAGATTTCACTGGAAATGGCGATAGCGGTACAGCTGTGGGAGTTCCACGTGGTTCCGATCTTCTTGGCAAAGTGCGTAATAAAATATAAAAATATAAAAATAAAAATAAACATTTTTATTTTTATTTTTATTTTTATTTTACTTTAATTTCTACTTCTATTTTACTTTCTATTTCTTTACTTTCTATTTCTACTTTCTATTTCTACTTTTATTTTATTTTAATTTACTGTAATTTTACTATTTAAAATTTTTATTTCAATTTGAAAAAAATATTTTAAGATTAATTCAATCAAATTTGCAAGAATCCAAATATCTAGCAATATTATGCAATTATATATAGAATATAATTTGATAATTTCCCTCAAAAAATTAAGAAATGTGGAAAGTATAATATAATTCGATATAATTCTCACAATTCTAATATTCTAAATGAAATGTACGTTGCAAATTGAAATAAATAAATACTTAATTTTGCAACAAGGGTAAAAAGAAAATTAAATGGCAGCGATATGTATACATCTGTGTTATTGCGATCGTAGGTGATACTTTTCACATCAAACATGACGAATCCTCGAAATCTTACCGGTGAACAAATGGGTGCTTATTTCGGCTACGCCGTAGCTTCCGGCGATATAGACGGAGATGGGTTGGACGACTTGATAGTCAGTGCACCCATGTACACAGTTCCAGATAATCCGGAAATGACCATCGAGACCGGAAGAATCTACGTTATCTACCAGGGCAACGGCATGGAAAAGTTCCGCAAATTCGATATAAGGTAGCGAAACTTCACAAGCACTTTAAAAAACAAAGGCAATTGTATATATTACATTTAACATGGGATTTTACGGGGAGAAGATTCCCACAAAATGGCAGAGGCTCTCGTACATTTCTGTTAATCTCAAGTTCATTAATGACTCTGACCCGAAGGATTAAATGAGCCCTGCATCGCACGCAAGTTCGTTGAACCGCGACGATAAAGTTTATCGTTATCCAGAGACGGCGAAAGCAACCGCGGACGTTTCGGCTTGTCACTGGCTTCTCTGGGGGACATCGACCGTGACGGTTACGGTGACTTCGTCGTCGGCGCACCCTATGGTGGTCCGAATGGCCGTGGTGCCGTCTACATTTATCACGGTTCACGAACTGGAGTATTAGAGAAGTATTCCCAGGTGATCCATGCGGAGGATCTAGATAATCCGGTGCAGACCTTTGGATTTTCGGTGGCCGGCGGTCTCGACCTCGATGGCAATATTTATCCGGACTTGGTAGTCGGTGCATACGAATCGGGAGCAGCAATGTTCTTTAGGTCTCTATCGATTTTTCCTTCATCCAAGCCTGATGTTGAAGATACTTGATTATCGGTAACATCGAGTTTTGAGTAAACTTTATGTTCTTCAGGTCACGACCGGTGATCAAGATGGATTCTTACGTGACCTTCGACTCTGAATCCAAATTGATCTCCTTGGACAACAGAAATTGTACGCTGTCGGATAACACCAGAGTCACATGTCTTCCGCTTAGAGCTTGCTTTAGGTATTCGGGAGAGGGTGTTCTCATGAGGCACAATTTCAATATACAATACGTACTCGATGTGAAAAAAACGAAGAATCCGAGGTTGTTCTTCCTAGAGTTGGAAGGCAGGAACACGATGAATCATACGATTACGGTTGAACGCGATCGGCAGTTCTGTCGCACAGTTCAGGTAAGTATTCGTTTGATTCTATTGTACGATATAATTTCTTTTTGCAAGAGAAAGAAAGACTAGCAATTTTTGTATCATTCTCAAAGGTCTACGTGACTCCTAATATCCGCGACAAGTTAACATCGCTGGATGCCGAGATGCGTATGAGTCTGGAAGAAGAACGGATTCCAGACAATCGTCGTCGTGATCCGAGAATGCCGCTGAGACCAGTCCTTGGCGCAACGACTTCCCGGAAAGACACTCTTTCCATCAGGAAGAATTGTGGTCCCGACAACGTCTGTATACCCGACTTACAGCTCAATGTGAGATCTAACGTTGGTAGATATTTACTGGGCTCTGGCAAGAGACTGGAACTCGAAGTTCTGGTGCAAAATGCGGGCGAGGACGCCTTCGAGGCAACGTACAATTTGCAGCTACCGGCCGGCATCGATTATATCAAGATAGAGCGTATCGAGACCCTGGAGATTCCCGTTCACTGTTCCGCGCCCAAGCAATCAAATAATAATACTCTTCGCTGTGATATCGGAAATCCACTGCCACAGGATAAACTGGTGAAATTCAAGGTGCTACTTCAGCCCGTGACGTCACACGGGATGAAACCCATCTATGAATTCGATATGCAAGTCAACACTACAAATCCCGAAGATTCCATTACCGCTCGTGATAATAGCCAACATTTATCTCTGCCGATCTGGATAGAAACGGATTTGCGTGTCGACGGCGAAAGCAAACCTAAGGATCTTTATTATAATCCCGATAATTATACTACCGCGAATATTACGACAGAGCTCGAATTTGGTCCAGCAGTGACGCATAATTATACGATTCGCAATCAGGGTCCATCAGATATTGTCGAGGCTGAAGCATTCCTCGTGTGGCCCGCACGGACTTTATCCGAGAAAGAACTAATGTATTTATTGGAACAGCCAGAGACTTCGGGACCGATCGCTTGCGAACCTGCTAATGCAAATTATCTTAGTTTGAAGGTATGTATAAGGTGGAAATATACAAAAATTATTTTTTTACATTATATGAATTATATATGATATAAATGATAGAAATATGATTATTGCTATTAATGTGTGTTTGCTTTACACAAAAAAGCTATCTAATTATATAAAATTATATATATGTATATAATATACTTTTATAGTATATTATATTATATATAATAGAATCAAATATATGTATATATAAATTCATATTTCAAAACTATAATTAACATAATTAAATTAACATAATTAAATAATTATAGATTAATTATAGTTTTGTCTTATAATTTAATCAGCTTTTTTAATATATGTAAAATAATATAATAATAATGTATCGTAGCTGGATCAACGTAAGAAGGTACATTTAAATTACCCCGACTATTCCGGCGTGATCCTGGACGAATCGCAATCAGGTAAAACGATCAACGTCCAAAGAGGCTTAGAGATAGATCGTAATAAAGGGAACCAGAAAGAAGAAGAGATCAATAGTGGCGATAGTTCGAATATGCAAAAATCGCGACATTCGTTTTCGTCATCTTCCTCCTCTTCCTCATCGAGTGCAGCCACCGAAACCAGAAGAATTCAACTGAATCCAACGGGAGAGAAACCAGACATTCTCACTACGACATATACGCAGAATTCCTCCGGAACTAGCTCGATTGGTACCGGTGATTTGTCCAGCAATCGTGGAGTTGTTTTCCACACAGAATCCGGCGGTAGTTCCTCGACTTTGGGCGGAGGATTTCACGAAAAAGAATCTTTTGGGTCTCGAAGATTACCCGATCTTGAACAGCCTTATGAGACTCGTATGAACCATTCCGTTAGAGTAGAAAATCGTTGGGATGAGGGCGATGATATACAAACCGGACATACAATTTCATCAGGAAGGTTTGATTCGGTTTTAACTGACAGTGAGAGGCGATATCAGGAGCTATTGAAACAGCAAGAGGAGATTCGTTTGCGTCAAGAAGAAGAAGCTCGTCAGAGGAAATTGCAAGAGGAGACGCTTTTGATACAACGTCAGCGAGAAGAACAGGAACGTATCGCTTTGCAACGACATCGAGAAGAAGAGGAACGGCGACGCGAGGAGGAAGAACGACGAGAAGAAGAACGACGTCGATACGAAAATGAACGACGAGAAGAAGAAGAACGACGAAGACAACAAGAAGAACGACGCTTGCAAGAAGAGCGGGAACGCGAGTACAACTATAACGAGGAAAGACACTATGGCGGATTCACAAATGATCGTCATCAAACTACGGAAGGTTTTATCACTGGCGATCGTGAAGAGACAGTTGGAGGACGAGAATTTGGTTTTCGTTTACACAATTCCACGCAAGAACTAGAACGGTTCTTTGACACATTGACAAAAGATGCGACTGGTTATCAGATATATAGCAGGCAAGGACAACAGTATGTACGGTTCAAAGCGAGATTTAGGACGTCTGCCGATTGGAAAGAATACATAGAATTTGAGGATGGCTCTATGTTCCCTCTTCAAGATCGTTTTGGTGGACAGAGCTATGCCTCGGAATCTACGGAGCCTCGCGATAGTCGATTCCTCGGAATAGAAGGCCAGCTACTTATTACTCCAGATAATAAAGGTTACATTGTGTTGAAGGATGGCCGTAGGTTCCCTCTTCAAGGCTCTTACACTTACACCGAAGAAAGAAGATTTACATTGCATGCTCCATACGATGGTTATCAAGATAGCAATGTTGATAATCAGAATCAGAGGACTTATAGTCAATCTTGGCAAGAAGAATCTTCTGGTCGTAGTCTAACTTCGGAGGGAAGTTACGAATCCAGATATAACACACGTACACAGGAGGAAAGACAAACAGAAGAGCGAACAAGTAATACCAGAATCTACGGAAGAGATAATAATCGATTTAATCATGATCGATTTAATGATGAATTCCCCACCGAGAAATCGGATTTTACAGGTCCAAGGCATAGACGCGAGAGTGATATGATTGACGTACAAGAGTTCAAAAAATTCGAACGATTGCACAGGCATCGGCGAGATGTCGAGACAGAAGACTTTCTATCGAATGAAGCTGCATTTCAAAATGAAGATTATGAGAACGATCCTGAATCACAGGACGAACCAGTACAACCTTGTGAGGCAGCAAAATGTGTGATGCTGCGATGTGTGTTAGGTCCCTTAAAGAAAGATCAGGAGGTCTGGATCGGTGCGAGATATCGCGTGAATGCAAGAACCTTGAAAGAGGTGGCCTTTAAGGAGAAGGTGAGAGTGTCGACCAAGCTGGTGGCGCGTGTCACGAAGCAACCGTTCATTGGTACACCAGCCGAACAAGTCATCAAAAGTGACGAAGTTATCACGAATATTGAACCCAGCGCACCACCTTCTGCTCCGGACATCATTCCAGTATGGGTGGTAGTATTATCGGCCTGCGCAGGAATGATAATTCTCTTGTTGCTCATCTATTTGCTTCATAAGGTAATGTTCTATAAAAATATCAAATAATTAAAAAAATTTTTTTAAATTATTTTATCGAGAAATATTGATCCAAATATCTGACGATATATCAAATTTGCTGATTTTGCTAAATTTATTCAGTCTTCAATATTAATATTAATGCTTGATTGCGAAACAATTGATTAATCGACTTTATTATTTACAGTGCGGTTTCTTTAAGAGAAATAGGCCCTCGGACGCTCCAGAAAGGCAACCGCTGAATCGAAATGGTCATTTCCAGCAAGGCGAAGATCATTGAGCTCCTTTTTCAATTTCGTTCTATCGAAATTTTTGACTTTCTGACTGGCTATATCGGATTGAATCGCACATGAGATAGGGAATCTCGCTACGCGATCAAAAAGTGCCTTGGTTTTTTGATAATCAAGAGAACAACACATTGCGTGGATTCGCTTGGCGTAATCTACAGACGTGGTCCCAACTTCTGCCGAATATCTTAATAACGTTCAACAGTGCCTTCATCCACTGTTCAAGATGAGTATCTGCTGAGGCGCATGGTTTCTGAAGTGACCGAGTCGATTTGTCACTCTTACTGCCACTGAAATACTGCTTCCAGCTCCTGCAGCTCGACCACGCAAGTTTCTAGTCAGGAGACGTTCTTCTTTTTTTATTATCTGTAATTACTTAAGCCGCGCGTACAGTCGGCAGATACGAATATTTCGACATTCTTCGATAAATCGTATCTTCATGTATATAAGTATATATATATATGTTACTTTTTTAATGTTATCCGGGTGGTAAAACGCCTTGATATGTGCCTCGTCGCTTCCGCTGCCTTTTTAAAATATAAAATAGAATTATTTTTTTATCCGCGTCGGCATGATCTCTAAAACGATCTCGTATCTCGCCGATGACATGTCCAACGGAACTCATTCAAAAATATGATATTACGAATGGATTCTTCTGTAAAGTTCTTTTACACGGTGATCAAATGTTGCATATCAATGAACATGTTGCATATGATTGAATCCACACGTTGTGAAAGATATCGTAATTTCTTCAAATGTTCCCTTCAGGTTGTCGCGTTTGATATAAAATCGTGATTGAATAATGTTGTGTTGTTAGCAGCATTTCAAATTACTCGTTTGAAAGGGATCTATAAATTTCTCTTGAAAGCAGCCTCGAAGACGCATGAGGATTTTTTCAATTATTTATTAAATTACGATGTTATATACCTAATACTATAATTCGTTTAAGTCATAATAATAGCGTGACTTATTATGGTCGCGTGCGCTAGGCGAATGTATGTACAATTTGTAAATTATTAATTTACTAAAATTATATCTACGGAAAGTGGCTAACGCGTAATAATTTGTAAATTATTAATTTACTAAAATTATACCACGAAAAGTGGTTTAACGCAATAATATTTGATTAGGAAGGAGACTTTCTAGTATAAGAGATTAGCGCTGACTTGTACATACAACGTTAAGACATAATACAAAAAAAATATATATATGTAATGAAATTAACCATTATGCATATATTGCTAATTTCTTTTCTAATAAAATTATTAGAAGAATAGCTTCAATTAATATAAGAGGAGTAAAATTAGATCGGATGTGAATTTTGTACAACTATTTATTGAAAAATTACAATGATGTAACAGCGATCGGCATAAAAGAAACGTTTAATTTCTTATCATCAACACCGTGTATACTGTCTGTACTGTATATTGATTGATCGCATTGACTGTTTCTATCGAAATCAGTCTATAACTTATCGTGCACAAATTATAAGAAAGTTCGGGATATAAAAAAATATATGTTTTATTAATCTTGTCTTTTCTTTGTAATAGATTTGGGTAATATTCTCCACATTTTCATTGATAAAATTTGTATAAAAATAATCTATAACGAGAGATTACAATTGTCAGTTTGTAAAATATTCTACCATCTTCGTTAATAGTTTTGTTTCGCGTTTCGAGTGCTTCGCATAAATGGATCAGTGAACGATGAATAATCGTAAATATAACTACAAATATATGACTGATGTTTAACAATTTGTGATTGCATGTCATATATATGTGTATGCGTGTGTGTGTGTGTGTGTATGTATGTGATCGAGAAAATTGAAATCTCCCCATAAGATCTCCCTATAAGATAAAACAAATACCTTATAAAAAAAACTGCATGAAACCTCGTTCCATAAAATCGTACAAAAATTTAGAAAAGAAACGCTAGAAATATACGTATAAAAGGAAACAGTGAAATATTATACATTTACAAATACGTAATTCAGTTATTGCTACTGTACTATTTACGTCTATACCCGGCAAATATTTGGATCGGAATGGAGTACATTATCTTTTTCACACGGGATACAGTATGAACGATGGAAATTAGAGTGAATATTGATATTCGTCGGGCAGTGTGGAATCGTTACTGCTCCTCAAAACGCCAATATGTTAGATAATATATACAAATTCGCGTCGCACTTAAAATAGTATTCCTATTTAAAATCGCGCTCAAGAATTTGTTTCATTTTATTCAATCTTCCTAATGAACTATCAAGACGGATAATGATTCACGAATAATGATCGATTTGATGTATTACCTCTGAATCAAAAGTGAACAGTCATGACAATGATCTAACACACGAGTAAAAACGAGAGGATCCTAAACAAGTATCAATGTTTTGATATCTGTGTGATTCTTTCAGTTTCACGATACCATGGTGCACGAAACCTTAAAATTTTATCTAATATTACATGTGCGTTGAAAAACCTTCTTCCTGTGGATCACGAGTATGTAACCCTGTCTTCAGAATTAGACTAAATGGATATTTTTTGTCAACCAACACGAACAGTACCTGCAAAGTGTTACCTTTCTCTCGGTAACATTGGACAATGGACAGGACACATGAACATTTGTAGCATCACCTAATCATCATTATCGCTATTGATTCGATCATCTATATCCTGACATATATTATCCTCATATCAGCTATCGGGGACCTAAAATCAAGCATTTAAGAAAGATTTAAGGAATATTTAAGAAAGAACAGATTTAATGAGTTGATTTAGTTAATGCAAGATTTCTTTTGTTCTTACTTTCCATTGTAACTGCGTGCCCACTTCGTAAAGTTCCTTAAGCGTTTCCCTCAATGTGCCACAGCTTTCTAGTTCTTTGTACTTACGATACAATTCTAAGGCTGCTCGCGCATCCTCGGTCGAATCGTGAGTTTCGGATTGAATCTTTTTACCCAGAAAATGCCAGGTCAAGAAGCGTAACGACACCATACGATGATGAGGTAAGTGGAATAATAAAACTGTATCTACTATTTGCTCCGGCGGTACTACCAAATTTATTACCCTATAAAATTCGTAATTAAATCTTGTTCTAATCTCATTGTTGTATATATCAGTATAAATGGTATTTTACCTAAAATCATTTTTTAGGCCGTGCCCGACGAAAATTATGCCATTGTCCACTAAAAACCTCAACTTTTGATACGTCGATTTCAGAGTGGTAAGATGTTTGCTACTAAAGTTTGCGTCCAAATCACCCGGTTGAATCCCACTGAATTTTGTCAAATAGTCAACCACCTGCTCTTGAGTACTTATGTAATCGTCTATAAACGGTGTGCCTTCCAGTGGACCTTGTCTATTTATAAAAAAAGTGAGAAAAAGATAGCAATTTAAAATTTCGCAAACATCGTGAACTTCTCTGAACGCACTTTTCTCTTAATCGGATAAAATCTCCGTTTATAGAACATTACTATTTAATAATAATTATTATTACCCGCGGATACAAGTGATTCGCGCTACGGACATGTGGCTTGGTTTTATAGTTGACATTTTTCCGTCGCTCCGCAATTCAGATTCTTCTTGATTTAAAGTAACGAACTCTGCGTCAATCCCTACCAATTCTCCTATAAAAATCATTCCAATATATGCAAGATAATCCATCGTGAAAAATTAAGCAAGACTGGTTGTGCTAAAATTGCACTAAAAGAAACATGAAATGTACCTTTCTTAGGCATTTCGTCTGACGCTAAAGGAGTAAACGTAATGCCTCTGGTTCCACCACTTCGCGCGATACATTTATCTTCGCCAAATACATCGTATGTAAGAGGACTGACATATGCTGTCGGTTCAGGTGCAGGTATCGCTGTATAATGGAGCACACATGGTACTTTCCAATCGAGATTAAACCACACTGCTTCTTGCGGTGTCACCGGTGATATACTATAACAAGTTTAGTGTTGTAATAAGTGATATTAATGCACAGATGTACACGTTTGTCTCCTAAAGAACTCACCAAAAATCATTAAAAATATACCACTGCGATACAGGATTGCCCGACGATCGTACGTGATAATTTGGTCCAACTCGCAACAACGTTACAATGTTTCTCCGTTCCTCATTATTTTTATCGTCAACATAACAGACGACAGCACTTAGACCGTATTGTATTTTTTGAATATTCCTAGAGATCTCTGAATTTGTACTTTTTGTTTCATTTCCCTCCGAGTTCGATACTATATTACAATTTTCAATGTTGTTACAATCTTCGTCATTATTGTCTTCAACGTTGTTGTCGGAAAGTGTTCGCACTATTTTGTCATCTTGGCCGTTCTCCACCACGTTCATTTGTGCGGATGTATCATTCATCAATTCATTTTTTGGTTCGCTAATTTTTTTAACCGACATTTCACCGTTTTCTTCAAGGGAGATCTCTATGTTGTGAGGTATCCAGGAATGCGAGTAATATAAATGACTAGGGGGTGTAACAGATGTCGACGAGGTAGATGGAGTAGAAGGCGATGTTAATAATTTCTCTGTTTCTGTATAATCAATAAATAGGGTCATATAACATATTAAATCAAAGAGGATTTAAGAATTGCGTACCTGAGTCACGACCAACATGTCTGAATCGACATCCAACTCGTGTACAATTATTGCCATATCGACAAGGTTTCGCAGTAACAGGTACAGGACTGGAACTGGGACTACTCTCTTTCCCCGTCAATACATTTTGCACTACGATGTCCATCTGATTTTGCCAAAATGCTTTATCCTGTAACAATTTGGTCTCTTTTAACAATTTCAGTCTCTGTTAGATCAATAAGATACAATGCGACCTCGTATGCTTTGATTCTGTATGCGCTATCTAATCTCGTGTTGTAAGTACCTGTTGAGTATCTAAGCCACAATTTAGGGCCAATATTTGAGGTAGTTTAGTCAATTGTCGAGACTGGAGAGTAGGTGTAAATTTCTGGCAATTGTCACACCATGCGGGTGTAATTTTCTCAGGTCTTAAACTGCGGGCAAGAACACTTGTGAACGGTACCTCTTCAGCTACAAAAGGTAAATCTTGTATTCAGGCGCGAGCATTAGGCTATGGCTACACGAAAAGTTTAGTGTTGAGCGTATAAAAGATTCAAAACTTCAAAATTCTAATTTTAAAAGTGTATTTCGAACATAACTATTGATAGAATTTTATGATTTAAAAAATTTTAAATGTTAAAATTATATGTCATCAGACTTCGATAATCTTTTTCCTTATCTTAAAATATTTGAATCCATAAACATACAGTTTCAACCACTTTACACGCTAGACACGTTTGCTCTCCGTTCAGCCTTAGATATGCATTACTTCAAAATAGCTTACAAGGATTGATTATTTCCGGATAAACTAAATTACAAAGTAACATGATGGAATGTTTCGTAGCTTCTTGCCCACATTTGAGACAGCGATGTATGTGCATTTGTTCAGATCCAAATAGATGACTGATCTCTGTTTCATCATCTCGCACTTCATTCTCTTCGGCAGACTTTTTGGTGTTCTTATCTACCCGTAATAAATGCACATTTAAAAATAAAATAAGCGAATGTTATTAACTGTTAATCACAATTAAGTAAAATGATTTTGTTCAGTAAGTAAGCATTTAATATCTTCAAAATATTTAGTTATTGATATATTTGCACATATAAATCATCTTTGATGTTTGAATAGTTATAATCTAAATATTCTTTCGTTTATTCTTATTTCTTCAAGATATTCGTTTTGCTTAAAAAGTTTGTAAAATTTGATTTTTCTAAAAATAAAATGATGCAAAATATCGAGAGATATCGAGAAATATAAAAAAACTAATTATTTTCTCAAATATTAAATATCATTTCATATTATATTATTATATATTTATATTTCTAAAAAAACATTAAGGTCAATCATATATTTTAAAATCTCAGGATTTTGTATAAAAGCAAGATCATGCAACTTTTAGACAATAAGATACAAGAGGGACTGGCTGCTCTTCTTACTATAAAAAACATACATAATATACAACAAAGCTTTAAAGAGTAACAAAAAGCATTTTGCTGCAATTTATTGATTTAATATAAGATCAATATATATAAACAACTATGTTCTAAAAAAAAAAAATATGCGCGTCGGCGCATATAGAAAGCTCCAACTATAATATCCTAAGAATACAAGATAATAAAATCATAAAATATTCTATTAAAACAAAGATAATGTTTCTGCAATCATAGATTGTGCTTCTAATAATATAGTAATAACATAATTTTTAGTTGTCTCTTGTTATTCTTTGGATATATTATTGCAGCCTTGCATCGAATAAATAGGTCACATAAAAATTGAAAAATAAACACAAAAAGTGCCCAGTGCAAAGGTTACACATGAATTGTGTTTACCTTTCGATGTGATCCACATATATTTACCATCCTCCTCCTGCTTTCTCTTTTTTTTCCTCTCGTCATCGTGGCTTCTATATCGAGAACCGAGATCTTCAAGAATGCTAGGGAAATCCTGCTCGTTATAAACAAATGGAGGGTATTTGGATCCTGTTTTAAGTCGCGCTGCCTCCTCTTCCTCCTGCTGTCGTTTTCTAGTTTCCAGTATCTCATAGTGTATTTGGTGTAGAATGAATCGATTCCAGCTCTAACACAAAATTTGCATATCAAATAATGTTCATAAAAGTTTAATATCGCTATTTTTTTCATCAAATATAAAAAATATAAAATTTATAATATATTTGAAATATATATGCTTATTTTTTATGCAAATTATTTAATTATAATTACACAATTTGAGTGCTTTTTTTACATCTTTTAGTTATCATACTTGTATAAGTCTAATCAGGCTGATTTTTTTCTTAGCTTCCGGATGCAAGTCGCTCAATATAAGTCCTAAAGCTGCCGCTTCTGGTACCGTCCTAAAAGCCCTCAGAAAATTCGCAGCTTGACAGGGTAATCCACGTGATATATCCAACATGTGAAACAAGAATCCCAATTCGCAAGAAAGACAGAATTCTCGTTGACACGAGTGTGAGAGCAATGCTATTCTTACAGGTTCGCAGTAATATAGTAACTGCAAAGCATAAATATATACATCTGATCAATAACTCTTGCTGTATTCATTCTGTGATCTACTTGGATCTCTATAGTTTTGTCAGGCTGCTCCATAGTTTTGTCGAGCTTACCTGCAGCATAGCATTGCAATAACTATTGGGAAGAGTGGCCTCCAGACCGCAAAAGCTGGTTCGATTGTATTGATCGAAATCAAAATCGTCGTAACCGAGTCGTGAATATTTCAACTCGATTTTACGATAACGCTTAGGTATGGCCACAAAGGTGCCGTCATCTGTTTTACACCGTGAGTCCCCCGCGAAAGGTTTCGCGATTAAGCCACGTCGTTTTTCCAAATTGTACGGTATCTGTAAAAGAGGTATTATTTATTTTTATTCCACTGAAAAAAAAATGTGCTTCGGAAATTAATCTGTCTTATGAAACTTTCACCATACGTTTCACGCGAAATCAATCTCGTGGGAAGTAGAGAAAGTATAATTTTAGATTGTGAAAAAATAAATAATACCTATTGAAAAAGAGAACGCGCGTTGTTGAAGGGAACTAAACTGATAACGTGGCGCATCATAATAGTAAAGTTACGCATATATATTGTTGTACATGTTTGTCGTATACAACCTTTATTATTTCACTCAAGTACAACTTTGAGATTATACATTTTATGCGGAACATATATTCTACTTGTATAAATATACTAATAGCCTATGAAGAGATTATTGAGCAGAAATCATCAAACGAAAACGAATAAAATGCATCGATCACAAACACATTGTGCGATATTGCGGAATTGAAGGCAGTAGAATATCACGCTGGTCGATAATGTATAGGAATTGTGGAAGCTTTCGGGAGAAGATATATTGAAATATTTATTCACGTTTCTCTTCTTCTTTACGTAGGGCATTCTGGAAACGTTAACATAAATAACTATAAGAGAAATTAAATCTTATACTATCGATATAATATTCAACGCATGTTTTTTTCTTATTAGACGCTGCCACGCGTAATTTTTCTGAAAAATATTCTCCGAAATACTCTGAATAATCATGATATATGGATATTTATATTAAAGAATTATACCTCTGTACAATGTGTTTTTCTGTAAAACAAGGAAAGTTATATAATCTCAAATTTAGTAACTAACTAAAATAATTAAGAAAGTCCAGCTTTATATTTATAATATGCTCCTCAATAGATTAACAAAAAAAAAGAATTATTTTAATATGTATAAGTTACATAATAATAGAAAAGATATATGTGATACTATGATAAACACACATCATATTATTCCTATATTGTGCCACACACACACACACACACACACATATGTATGTATATATATATATATATATATATATATATATATATATATAAATCTCTATATATTTATACTAATTTAATAAAAAAAAATATATTTATATATATTTAGAATTTTCTTAGAATTTTTATGCTGTGTATTTATATGCCATATAATACTTTAGTGTATCTATAGCAGACACATTTTTATTATATATTATTATCTCACTTATTCATTATAAATTGGCACATTGTTGAAAATATTGGATCCCTTAAAATCGGATATATAAAAAAAAATTTGCCTTTTTCAAATTTAAATACACTTAGAAATATGCTTTTGTATGTCAAGTCATTATTGCTCAACTTTCATACTTGTACATACAAACATACAATGTGTAAATGTAAAATATTAATTAAAGAAAATATAAACTTTTACGAATGTCACTATCAAAAAAAATATTCATTATATTATAAGAGAAGTTAATGATCTTCGTTAATAATGAATGATGTATAGTGACAGTATGATGATAATGCGATAGTATTAGTGTTTTATATTATTTTTAAATACTCTTTTTCTCTCATAATTATATCATAAATTGATAACAAAACAAAATGAGAAAAAAATTTTAATTCTTACATATTTATGTACTTGAAAACTGTAAATTTTCAATATTGTAAAATTAATAGAATATGTTGAGGACTAGCTTACGAAAATATATCACGTTCTTTTATAGACTACAATAATTATCACGAAATGTTATCAGTCTTAATCACATTATAGCAAATTCTCCTTTTTCTAAAAAATTACATATTTCAATTATATTAAGCCTCATCTTATATTATGATAATGTATTTCAATTAATCGTGCCCAACTGTAACTGTAACTGTAACTGTCAAAGACACGAAGAAGCATATTTGTATTAATATATCTTTAAAGTATATATAAACTTAGGTAGCAATTTTTTAAAATATAGAAGCGATAATTAAATTCGATATCAAATCATAAACAGAATTCACTTTTCCCATTTGATAAATAAAAATATTGAGAGTTGATGGGAAATGAAATTATTGGAAATATGTAAGCAGATTTAAGATAATTTGAGAAAAAATGGAGGAGAATATTGTGTATGTGGTATTTGTGTGTGTAGTAGAGTGGGAGAATATTGTTTCCTCACTTGATTTCTGCGAAAAGCCTGAGGATTTGGCGCATATCCTATTGTTCCCTGCATTTTCATTGTGCGCAAAATTTCAGGATCTATTGCTGGAGTTTTCCTGTGGAAGAAAAAAGATCTCTCATCTATTTCCTTTCTATAAAAAGCGGGAGTTTATATATTGCGCACATACCTATAAACTTTTTTTAAAAATTCTTCTGGCCAATCACTTAAAAGTGGTTGATCAGAATATACCATCGGTATTGTACTAAACGGTGTAACATCATCATCAAAAGGAATTGATTGTACTGTCTCGATTGGATCGGCAAATTCCGTAGGTCTAAATTCAATAAAAAATATATATATAATTTATTATATATTCAACCTGCACACATAAAATTTTAATGTTCTTTATCATTAATTATATATTTATTTTTTAATTATATATATTATAATTTCATATATTTTCGATTAAATATAAAAATAACTAAATATTTTTAATTATAATATATTGATTATTTATTTTAATTTTATTATAAATTTAGATTATATAGAAATAATTTATTTTATTCAATTCAGAACTTAACTTTAAAAAACTTATTCAATTTAGAACTCAAAAAAATTTATTTAAGAAATGATTGTATACCTAGAAAATGTATTAAATTGAGGTTCCGGATTGTTGGTAGACATTAGGTGTATAGAACCCGCCGAATCTCCAAAGCAGAGACACTGAGATGTGGAAGCTACATCAAATGATAATATCGCCGCTCCGCCAGTAGCAACCTAATAATATATGATATATTTTTATGTATATGTTAATCTTTTTAAATTTATTCGTTGCATTTTTTTTAAATTTTCTAAATATGTATGATAAGAATTTACCTGATACAAACATGTCATTGAGGGTTGTACATTGGCATATATTGTATCAAGTAGTTGCATTTGTCCTAGTGGCGATACTACTGCGAGGCGACTGGAGTAACTTGGTAGAAACTTTAATAAGAGAGGATATACCATAGTAGTGACCGGACTCAATGCTCTCATTTGTCTCAGATCGTAGGCCATTAAAAATCGATCAACGGTAAGGCCCTGACGACTAAACATGGAATATGATGCATAAGTATATAAATATATATCCCTCAAAAATTCTCTATGCCATCTTATGGCTCACCTATTGCTGAATCCACATGTAACAAGATAATTTCCCTGTACATCAAAATCACTTAGGGAACCACTATGTGTATCCAGAGTATGCTCTATTGATAATGTATTTGGGTCCCTGAGATCTATCCGTCCTGCAGGATTACCAGCACAGATAAGTCTACTGTGTTGTCTCAATATCGCACAACCATTTTCTCCTACGTCCATCTATAAGTATAAGATATAATATCATAGCAAATTGAGATTAATCTAACATCTAACTCTTTAACATATTCTTACTAATCCAGTCTCCTTTCCTCTAGTAAGGTTAAAATCAATTATTTTATCCTGATGTCCACCCATGAGTAATCTGGTCGGAGAGATTTGCAACATGCACTGCATGTCATTCATATTTGTTGACCTATAACAACCTAGGTTTGCAAATTTGTGGGATGATATCGATAATGCAACATAGCAACATACGTGTGTGTAAATATAGGTATGCCTCGTCGCAGCTGACATCTCAATATACTCTGGGTCAACACTAAAATCCCTTCATCTACAGGATGAATATGTCGGATCTCTTGAGTCGCATGGACTTGAAAAGAGGTATATTTTTGTAAACCAGGCCCATAATAAGATGTTACGTGGCCCTATAACAAATTCATGTTACTAAACATAATAAATATTTATAAATAAAAATCAAGTCTCGGATGAATTAATAATAATAATGTACCCCTTGATTCCCCATCCACATAAGCTCCTCAATCGTATCGAAAGTGGCAGTGGAAACTCCAAATCTATCTCCGCCATCAGCGAGCAATGTTCTAGTTTCGTGAAATTCAGCCCCAGCAAAATCCTCTCCAAACTGCTCCGCTGCAGGTACATACTCATCTCCAGGTACAACATAATTACATTCCTCCCCTAGAATAAGAACCAGTTGAGAGTCTATATCCATGATATACTTTATCTCAGAAGAAACAAGCAAAAAAACATTTCTGTGAATAATTTATTTCTGCGCAAAATTTCTTTTTAACAATTTTAATTTATCTGATGTAAAATAAATTCCATTTTTTAATATAATAATAAAATAACACAAAATATCTCACACTTATTAGTTAGGTTCTCATAACTTGTAACTTTTCTTGTAATCATTACACTTTATTTTTAATAGATATTTTATGCATTTATTGTATAGTAAATAAAAGTTAAAAAAGGTATAATATATAACTATATGTGCTTCTCGACAATATATTAATTTAGGTTACATTGCTATTAAAAAAAAAATTCAAAGCAATTTTTTTATTTTAATCTATTTGCAAGATAGGCACATACGCATGCATTCTCATTAAAATTATCCATTCTACAATAAGAACGATATACAATATGATCGTCTGTTTTGCAGTCTTGACAGAAGGAACTGTTCGACGAAATTCCTCGCATAACGCAAGAACAGCTGATATCAGCTGATGTGTATCGCTACGATACGATACTTGACACGAGCGTTCGAAAGCAAACGAATGTCGCGGAGGGTAAAACAAACAATGCAAAAAGAATCTTGCGAGTGGAATAAAACACGAGACCGGAACAATTTCGACAGCAGTCCTCTTTCTTTCGGCGCCTCTTATTCGCGGCAAGTGGAAAGAGCGCGCGCGGGAACGGACGACGATACGAAAAGGACATTACACTTACACAGCAGTTCCTGCTCCTCCTCGCCGCTACCGTGGTCCGTGGCCTCTACGGTGGGGTCGTAGTGGCCTAACACCGGGTAGTCCATAATAAGAGTGGCTGCGCTAACTTCAGGCTACGTCGTCGCGGAGCATCGAGGCGTCAGGGCGACACGAGGATCGGCGTCCCGACGACGATCCGTCCTTTATCATAGCACACCACGTAACACACGCGCGCACGCACACTCACGCGACGGAGGGACACGCACCCGCGGCCGCACGCACGTCAGTCGCCTTGGCAACTGTGCAACAAGCGAGACACTTTGCGCACTTTCTTACGGTGGTCGGTCGGGCCGAGAGTCTGACGGACGATCGCGTCATAACACGCGACTTTTCTCCACCGCGAATATTCCTCGCACGCCGGGAAAACCGCGCTGGACCCCGCGATCGCGATTTAATTCATGAGCGCGCCTTTGTGCGCGTTCCGCGACAAGGACATGACGGCGGCCTTGAGTCGCGCGACATCTGGAAATAGCGGCGGCGTGACTTTGCACTAGAGACGCCAGCGGGAACTCGCTGAAGGTCTGACGCGCGCGCGCATTTTAAACTATGTATATGTATATATATATATGTATGCTGAATAAATAATTATTTAACAATTATGTCCCGTTACCTTTCTAGTAATCTAATTTGGAGAGAATGTGAAATATGAACTTTTCAGCACGTTTCTAAGATATTTTCGTCTCTAAGATATGTATTTTCTATCATTTTTAGATTACAATTATATAATATATAATTTTTTAATTACAAAAACTTTATTATATTATTATATTATGTACCTATTATATATTATATTATGTACTTTGTATTATTATATTTTTGTAACATTTTTTATTTGTGAGCTGTATGCAGAATTGTTAGCACAGTAATTTAAATTATTGTCATGTTATATATATCATTTTTTTGAGCTGCGAGACAAAAATATATAGCACTATTGATGTATGTACACAATTGTGTATTATATATACACATTATATGTATGCAGAAATGAAATGAAAAATATTAAAAAGTAAATAACAACTATTTGAAATTCTTCTTGAAATTTCTAAAACATAAAAAAGCAAACATCATACAAACAGATAAAACATTATTATTCTGACCCATGTATCTTTTCATCTGTAATCCAAGAGATTAAATTAATGCATGTCTCTTGCTCTAAATAAATGTAGCCTATAATTAACCCTTCAAAAATACCTAGAAATACTCCAACGAGTACATCAAATATGTGGTGTCTTCTCAATAATAACCTAGATGTACACACAGAAAAACACCATGCTAATAAAGGTGGTGCAAACATCGAAGATATGGGCCACACATAGAAGAAGAAATACACGATAAACATAGCACGAGATGCATGTCCAGATGGAAAGGAATATTTATCAGGTCCTATAGTAAATGAATCATCATTAGAAGTTGGCCGTCTTCTTCTTGTGATTGCCTTTATCACGGCAATCAAGAAAATGTCAAGCAACAACCCTGAAATAATATTTTTGTTTACGTATATATCCCATGTTTTAGTAATAGGAGAACCTTTTATTTACCTATTAGCAAATTTACTTGCATTTGATACAAGCTTTTGCTGTTAAGAATCCAAATTAACACGAGAGAACTTGCTAGCCAAACTATGCCATGACACGATATCTATAAGATGTAATCAAAGTAATTAAAATAAACATAATTAGAGATATATATTTAATAATTATATTATAAATATATTTATTATATAAATATATTTAATAATCAATAAAAGAATAAATGAGATTACCCTTACCTCTAACAACTTATAATGTACTTTCAATTGTCTTAAGGGTAGGAATCTTTCTATCAACTTAACAAATTCATCTGTCAAATAGGCATCCACTGCCAATACCTTCCTCAATAATGTCGGAATTTGTCTTTTCTCAGACTAAAAAATTATAGTTAATTATATTTCTTCAAGAACAATTATATATATTTAGAATAAAAGTAAATACAGATTTATTGATTTCAATATTATTATCCAAATAATATAATTCATAAAATATACATTTAAATATCAATAAATGACATTAACGGCAAGATATCAATATAAACAACGATATCAGTATAAAAAATGACTTTAAAAAAATAATAAATTATAAACAATTAATAAACTACCGTTTCCATATTGTTTCCCAATTATGACAGAATTATTATAACTGTTAAGGTGATAAGAAATGCCAGAATCACGCGTGATTCATATTTTTTATAGCGTAAATAATACTTCAGTTAAATAACCACAAGAAGAATGAATCAAGTATAACAGCTGATATCACAGCTGAGAGCGCTGAGTAATGATAAATATACGTAACACATTTATATATATACGAGTCGCATGAATGAATATTTCCATTCATCGACAGATGGCGTACACTGATATATTGCTTTGTGTTCCCATTCTGTCATGTCTTTTGTCAGTTTTTACTTTGCCGACAAATAAAAACAGCTGATTATTAAACAATCATCATGTCATATTAAAATCAATATATTTTGTTAAAAATAATTAAAATTCAATATTAAGACAGAGATT